CCCCTCGACCCCTCCTCGCCGCCCGGCGCTGCCTTTCCCCTGCAGAGCTTTGCTTCTGCGTTTGCTTTAAACACTCAAATGGTCGGATTTGTGCTGTATGGCCTTCCAGCTGCACAGAGATAAGCCTTAACCATTTGAAGGCACAAATCTATGTTCATTTGGCAAAAGATAAGATAATAATCTTTAAACTCAGATTTTTCAGCCCTCCTCCAACTTTTACACCTCAAAAAAGTCCTAAAGAGAGTCTGGTATGCTTTTCATTAGAATCAAATATAAATAATTGGCAAATACTATTTCCCTCTTAAGATTGAGTGAGTGCCTCTCAGTTCTCATAATATCCATTCAAATCCATTTTCCTTATCCTTTATTGTATTACTAGTTATCACTCTCCCCCCTGCAAAAAATTCGTCTTTTTCTTTCAACTTAATATTAGTAATGTGTCCCTTAAAAAAGAGCATTTTTCCATTATCAGTGAAACTCACTAGTTCCTATCCTTCTTGCAGACTCCTTTTTTTTTGGTGATTAATGTGTTCAATTTGTGCCAGTGCCGATAAGCATTATGAGAGTAACAGATTCCACATGCTAAAGATAATCAAATCACCTATCTGGGGGTGAAATGCTGTAACTCACTCTGCTTCAGGAAATAATGATGGAAAACTAGGGAGAAATAACTGACTGTTGGACCCAATTTGAAAACAGCAAAGGAAACTGATATTTTATCTTTGGCTGGATTTCTATATTGTAGGCCTGAAATTCTCTCACCAGGGCAGTACCATTCATTGTCTGACCAGAGCAGGCATTGTCGGATGGATAAGAAATTTGATTTCCCTTTCTATTTTACACGGTTCAGATTTTAAATGTGAGTTTCTGAAAAATAGAGTGTTATATAACAATTAATAAGTAATAGGATAAGGATGCAAAACTCAAGCAAATAACAAATGCAGACAACTTCCTGTCTAGAAACTAATTCTAGTTTACTTCTTGGGTCATTTTGCTCATTTCTAAAATTAGAGATAACGAGTTAATTTCTCAGTTCTATTCCAGTACTAAAAGTATTTGTGTCTATAGCTTATCCAGATCCTTGGTTTTCTGCAGCCATAGAGTTTGGTTTGAAGAGGTATCATGGATAGATATAACATAATGAGTGACGGATGACCCTTCCCTGTCTTTAGAGTTTATACAATCTGATTGGAAATACTCAATGTAAAATGTGTGAAAGACTGAAGAATTTTCAAAGGCATACTAAGTTTGCATTATAATGGTAAAATACAATTAGGAATGA